ATATGGAAGGAATCTCTTCCAGACTGCATTTGTCTTTTGCCGAAGCTCAGACTCTGGCACAGGATCGGGATCGTTGGAAGCGCTGTCTGACGTGTCTGCCTCCGCGACCCGAAAGGAGAAGCGGCGATGGAAGATGATGATGATGATGATGATATATAAGACATGCTATAATACTTCTCCGGATTCTACAGTTTTCATGTGCATTCAATCCAGACTGAACGATTTGAATGACTGATTTAAAAGAGTTTTCGTCATTTTAGCAGAGTTTCTCCGCGTGTGCATTTTCTTCCAGAAAATGCTATTTTCTGATGTACTCGGTTCCCGTTCAACCTTTAATACACCTGAATTTGATTAATCTAGTTTTTATCGGATCGGTCTTCATAATTTTAGACTGATAACAAATCGAATATTTTTTAAAAGTCGGTAATCACTGAAATTCATGCGCAAAAATCTCTTACATAGAAGAATATTAGCAAATCTATTTAATAAATTAAATTTTGTAAGCAGTCAGAATTGTCAGAACTAAATAATTGTCAAAACAAAAATAAACACAGAATTGATTGGTTTACCAGTTTTATACTGGTTTTCGATAAAAAAATGACATTTTCTACTGCCGACGTAGAAGAATGGTCCCGTTCTTCTAGGGAACTATTAAAGCAGTATCGTTTTTTTGTCATCACTTAACGGCCATATCGAAAGTTGTCGTATTTGTTTTCATTTTGGTCCTGTTTGTCTACGAGTCGTTGGAAAACGTTTTTTAACTTGAGCATGTACTTGCTCCAACCGATTATGAGATGCAGACATTTGTCCCTTGTACTGCAGGTGGTTAAATAAGATTTTGCCGTGGCCTACTTAAATGGCTCCCTAGACGAGTACAAGCAATAAAGCAATTTGTGTAATGTGAGAAATGCATTTTTCTCTTTATAATACTCTGTATTTCTGCTATTTTAATCCGATGATAATAGCACAGGTTCAAGCTTTGATCTTGGCTATAGGTCTCTGTGAGTAATTCGTCGGAAGGATGTGAATTGTTGTGCTAAAGCTACTACGAAGTGCCAATTACAGAATCCATCGTTCTAATGGACAAAACGCGCGTCTGAGCAGATATTGATAAGTGGAAAGGCGTGATCTGACAGAACGACTCAAACTGTCTCACCAATAACGGTATGAAATCGAACAGTTTTGCGCAAACAGCAAACTGTATGTTTTGAACAATTCTTTCGAGCATCGAACCTTACATGAGTATAATACGTACAGTGAAGCTAGTGTATAGCAGTCGATGATCAGTTTAATAATCGAATGGACTGACTCATGACGCTGCGCAATGGATTTTTATCTGATTTCAAAAGAAAACAAAAGGCTCGATTAGTTCTGGTAGAATTCCAGCGGCGCCTTCGTCAAGATATCGAGACACGTATTGTCACCGAAATTTGCAAAAATACTGAGGTGTCGCAGCACCATGAGCCATTTAAAAGCAATGCTAAGCAACCGAAGATTCCGTAGGTTCTCTACTAGCGACATGCAACTCACACTAGAAAGTTAGCCCACGCGTTCTAAGGAAGAAGTTTGGACCAGATCGGTCCAACAACAGCCACCAACCTAAAGGCAATGGAAACATATTGCCAACCATGCGGCTCTGTCCAAACTCGTCGATAACCGCCACAGCCTTACAAACACTATTATAGAAGTGTCTTTCTGTGGCGATCGAGTCAGAAACGTCGTCAGCAAGAAATATCTAGGATTAAATTTGGACCGCAGTCGTTACGCTCCGAGAACATCTACGATGGACCTGGGCAAATACTAAAGCTCGAACATCAAACTAGTTGGGAATCTGACATTTACACTCGTCAACTAGCAGCAATCAGTATTCTACGCCGTGGCTCCAAAGCAGTCCTACGAGGTACCTCGATGCTATCCTGAACAATACAATAATGGTCAAAGCAGGACCCTCCAGAACACAGCACGTTCGTAATTGCATGTAATCTCAAACATTTTTCCATACAGTATAAGAATGCGCCAAAATTGCCTAAGAGTGTCGCAAAATAAAGGACGGATTAAGCGTGCCTGTTCACAAAATTTCAAGAACCGTTCTGGGACCAGCAAAACTTGAATCGCGACGACCATTCTGGCAAACTGACCAGACTTGATGTCGTTTTTCACCAATGATGAACGGGGAAATATTTCGCAGCGTTCCAAGAGGCAAAACAGATATGTAACTGATCATCGGACAAGGATTAGGTCTAGATTTAACCCTACACAAATATGCAATCTCGAGCAAGATTCGCACCATCCACGCCAAGACTGTGCATTTTCTGCACAGGTGGCACTATAAAGAAACCTCAGCGGCGACTGCGGAAACTCCAACCAAACAGTCGACCACATCGTCAGTCAGTGTGAATCAAGGAAATTCGAGAGAGAAATCGACGTCTCACGTGGCTGGAAACGATTTATCGTATAGTTGTCAAAATTCGATCTCGATATATAGCTGCTAATGCAAGACATAATAAGAAACAAAATAGATATTCGTCTAAGTTAAATGCAGAGCTGCCAAATAATAATGACCACGCTGCTGTAACTCTATCTGATTTAAACGATGAGCGTGACATTCAACTGTGCAAATACAGATATAGAAATTACTTATAAATTGAGTGGAAGTTCTTTAAGAACCATTTACTTGGAGCTGTCGTAGAATGCTGCATATAATCGATTTGGTCGATTACTATTGTACATTAGGTAACTGTGCCACTAAAAAAGAAGATCACCGCATGTAGGCATTTTATGTTTACACTAATTTGCAATTCATTCCTTCAGTGTCTCGGTATGAAA